CACAAGGAGCCTTACATTCCGCATCTTCTACATTTTTCAACAGTTTTAAAGTTTACTCAAGAGGTTACTTCCAAACTGTAGCTCTGATGAAACTTAACTGGTAACTCAGATAACGAACACGACTCTCGGTTTTAACTTCTCTCATCACATTCACATCAGACCTCTTCTAATTTCTACCTCAACGAGCTTTCTCTTGTTCCTGAAACTAAATATTTATGCAGAAGGCACATACCGATCTATATCGCTAATATAAGCAGTCTTGTAACTGGACAAATAAACAAGAAACGAAGTTATGAATAGCACAGTACAGCAGTGGTGCAGTACAACGTTCACTTTGTTCGTAAGTCTTAAGAACGTTTGTTAAATCAATCCTCCCTTTCAGAGGATTCTTACTTGCCATTACTAAATTCAGATTGTAAGCATAAATGATGTGATAGATTTTCAAAATTAACGAACACATTGTTGTAATGAATGTTCCCAAATCTGATGTGTGTGTATATGGAATAAAAACTAATGTTGGAAACATTCCAAACATTTTTCCATGTTTGGATGACTACATATTGTTTCACTAAAGTTAGGTTTCTCCTCCACGGCAATGCTTGTTACTTACATTAAAGCAACATATTTAAACGCCACAAAATAGCCAAATGAAACAACTTCAGCTTGCAACATCTGGCGCGAATGAATACTTGGTTGAATTTTGGTTAAACGTAATTCGAGAGCAGCACTACGAATTTTTAGAACCCGGACCGACCGACTACTTTACATGTAATTAACAGCCCAGTTTTTCTGCGACAGTCACGTATTTTGAATCACCATTTACAAAATACGTTTGTTTGTTAGTTTTCTACAGACTTCATCGCTAAAGTTAATGGGTGACAGTTCTAAAATAAAAATACACATCGTGTCAGGTAGATTGAAGCCCATTACAACCAACAAGATACATCCAAATCTAATTAATCACTTAAAATGAGACGTCACAGATTTCTAGAATACACAACGCTCATATTCCACAAGTACCGAAGTTCCTCTGCTCGACAAAATTTTGCAGCGCGAAATTGCAACACGGACTACAATTTTTTTTTTTTTTTACAAACTACTTTACATCACAGTTAAAATATGGCATAAATTACGAAACACATTACATATAACATGAAATTATTTTCTTAATAAAAACAAACGCAAAGTCTTTGAAATTTAAGAATCATTACAGTAGGTGATAAGTTACACTACGACAGCGTCATTTCCTCTTTTTCTTTCTTCCCGTAGCAGTGTCCTGCGGAAACAGCGCGCTCGGAACATTTAACGAGTTCCAGCGAAAAACGAGTGACATAATGTCGCCTTCCTTTGTCTCTTCCCCTCCCCTCCCCAGCCCCTCCTGTTCAACAGGGGCACTCGCACACAACGAACTGCAACGCGTCAAGGCGAGGAGGACGAGGGGGAAATGCTGCCGTGCTGACGCAACCGAACGCGCACTCCCATACATTTTCATTGTGGGGCAGGCACCCTTTGTTCCAAACCTCCGAGAAAAGGAAGACGGCCTCTCTAGAAGCAGCCACCAGGACACGAACTGAGTCACCGAGTCAATTATCGGGTTCTCGGATGTAGGTAAGGGGGTTGAAAATGCATTGAGTAATTATTTGTTCATTTGCAAAAAAGTCAAATGACTCTCATGAAACTCACCATTTAAATTTAAAATTTGCTTAGATACCGTCTAATGAAGCCATGTAGGCAACGAAAGAAAAGGAGTAAACCGCTCTCAAAGGGGCAATTATTCTAAAACATTCAAAAGGGAAATCAAAATATATGAAGAACATTGGGTTGCTGTTTAATGGGAACGATGCCAAAAAACAAAGGAGAATATTATTCCGTTTTCTTGATTGAACAAAATCTATTTAAGATAGGCAATCGACTGACTGCGACGATACGAGACAAACGACCAATAACTTAATGGAAGATTACTTCAATGTATATGACTCTCAATGTCCTAAAAGGGTTAAAGAGTCAGTTTCTTAAAAGACGCATCGAATTTAAATAAATAAATGAATAAATAAATAAATAAATAAATAAATAAATGAGAGAATAAACTTCCGGCCGGGGTCAGTATTAACTTGGCTGTCCGGATGACGCGTGCATGGCGAAGGTGCCGACGTTTCGGTCGCCATTCTGCGACCTTCCTCAGGGCGTAATGCCATTTGCTGTGGACGCGGCGTCACCCGGACAGCCAATTAAATATTGATTGCCTACTTTTTTATCGGCCTCATGACGTTAACAACTGTAACGATCGCACGGAACCTCCCTGGGGCTGGCGGAGTCGTCAGCGCAGTTGATTCAGACTCCGAACATGCGCAAAACAACGCGATACAACACTGTTCCCCGCACGACGGCGTAGAAGAAGCGACTGCCACGCCGATAAGCGTTAGCCCAGCCACGCGCGCGCGCGTCCGCCCTCGCCACGCGTGCGACGCAGCGCACCGCCGCCGCCGCGGCAATCGACGGCGCGTGGGCGGGCGCGGTTGCGCTAAGCGGCCCATCCACCATCCACCCACATTCGCTCGCCTGGCGTCAGCTGATTTGCGCATCTCTCGCCGCCGCGTTGGCCCCACAATGTAGTAGATAGTAGTTGGTATGTGTGTGTGTGGGGGGGGGGGCAGGGATGCCAAATCGGGTAGAATTGTTTGCGAAACGTAGTATGTCCCCGCACGAAATCTTGCACATGTGCAACAATTATGAAGAAATATCAGAACATGCTCTGTATTTTTTTATTACACAGCCATTCATTCTCACCTTTTCACGCGATTGCGCCCACCTTTTTTTATTCAAATATTGAAGTCTTCTGATAGGTAGGCTTTATGCATTCGAGAATTTGGTTTTAAACATGTTTGGTATCTGTTTTGAAATTATCTGCACTAGTGTCAGAATCACCGTTTCCCACCGTTCACGTTTTTCACCTCTCATTTGGAGGTTTTGGACAGATTGTTATCCCTCAGACAGCGGAGTTTTCAGTCCGGATCTGGCAACCCTGAGGTGGGGGTGGGGTGGGGGGTGATGAAGGCTGGTAAAGGCGACAGCGACAGATTTATAAACGGCGCGGAAGGCTTGCTGTACTTGAATGGTCACCATGACGCCGCAACCGTGCGCCAAGTCGCCAATTCTGCTTCGGCCAGACTTCGCAAAATAATATATTTTTATTTTTTCTCTCTAAAGGGCTGTGGATTATGACAGTGTTGCCAAGTTGGCATTCCTCCATCTGTATTTTTGTGGCACGCAGCGACTTGTAGTAAACTATGAAAATGGTTTTACCCACAACGAAGGGTGAACCTTTAGACGCCAAGTCTGAATGTTAGGAACAAAGTACAGTAAGATTTCTGGAATGATCAACCTTCAAATTTAATAACAAAAATTATAATAACTTTCACACTTTCATGCATGTCATATAGCAGGCCTCATAGCGCACGGGCACCGGGCAGGAGAATTCAATTGCGCGTTTCACCAAGGCTATGGGTTCAAATCCCGAGAAAGACATGAAAGTTTTCAGCTGTGGTTGTGGCATGCCGGCTGTCCCAGCACGCCCTAAACACTTATCCTGTCCTAATCTTACCCGGAAAAGATTATGATGTGTACTATACTTTCGTGTACTATTCTAAAAGCAGATCCACACATTTGGCATTCGCCGAGCAGAGAACTACTGCTCGCCCAATCCCGAACAGCTGATGTGTTCGGTGAATGTTCGCTTCTATTAGTGTGTGCAAAAGACCGTCACGTGGTGGATTGGGCGAGCACCGAACGTTCGTCACTCGGCAAATAGCAAGCAAATCATACACATTACTTGGGATTCGGCAAGCGGTTAATTGCTTCTTGCCGAATAATGAAAGTGTGATGCCGCGTAAAAGATTTACAGACTACGGCAATGGTGCTTTCGGAAACTATCCTATTTCCATAGTAAGATGCCAGCACCGATTCGGGCCCATAGGTTACCTCGGGCATTATCAACAGCTGTAGCCCACATGGGACTACCTCAGAGGTGATGCTTGGGGACGACAGGTCGCCTAGGCTTGGCTGGGCTTGGCTTGGCTTGGTTCGAGAGTGATTTTTAGTCGCATCATGGTGACAGGCGGATTAAGAGTGGGAAAAAGATTACGGTAGAAACGACAAAAAAGGGTACACGCATGGCGTATATTATATACGTAATTCTAATTGCATTTTATATTAGTTGCAATTAAAATTGCGATAATTTATATCTCGCGCACAGGGCTTTGCTCTCAACAAAGACATAAAAATGTTCATGACAAAAAAGGTATGTGGTGTGACTTACATTGCAACACTTTTCTTAGTTGAAATTATACTACGTTGTTGTTTGCGGTTTCTTCACAAATATTTTTTGTTTTTTTAATACTGTCAATATTATCACACATTTCTGCAGATAACACGACCTTCAGATAAGACAAGGTATGCATGTTCGTTTTATAGTTTTAACTTAGTATTTGGACGACCCCCGAACTATCAATGGCCAATGAATTTGGTTTATATCAGCAATACTCATTTCTCGCAAGAGGCAGTACTTCAGCACAGCCGTCAGCATTGGCTTTTGGCAAACATTCGCACTGAATAGGGCATTGTAGTACAATTTCAATAAAGGACAAGCTTCCGTCAGTGTCATCACGTTTCTGCCAGTAGAAGTACTCGCCGAATCACAAACTCGCATGTACTGCCACTAACTAACAAGTTTCCTTGTAGGTTGTATCATCGTGTGTTCAATCAATTTGAACTTGTAAATGTAAAATTTGTAAAGTGGGCCTAATCATGGAACCAAAGTAAAGATCTCTTTTTTATCTGTCCTATAAGATGACCCCGTATTTTTGGTGCCTTTTTTATGATTCACCTATTGTTTATCTACCGAAATACAATAAATCAATAATACCTTTTCCAGTTTTGTAGATAAATGGTTGAAACGAGAGTTGTATATTAAAATAAATTTAAATCAAACTTTTCAAATGCTGTGAACATAGCACTCACTTTATTGCAAATTACATTATTCATAAAAAAAACAACTCAGAAAATATAAATTACAAACCACAACAATGTATCAGGAAGACAATGCAATTCATCAACAATCTCTAATTCGATTAATCCGTTTCTAATTCATCCAACGCCTCTAGTAAAATATTTTGCATTTTAGTGCGAGTTTTCAATTTCAGTCTGCCAGGAAGATTCCTCATGTGGGGTAAAAGGGACATGAGAAAATGGTAGTCCTCGTCATCACGTTCTTCCTTTCTTAAACTCATTCTCTTTATTTCTTCCATCCTTTCTTCTTCCAATCGCATAAGCTTTTTCATTGCTTCTTCTCCTGCATTCAATCTCCTCTTTCTTCTCTCATTACTTATTGTCTCTAGTTTTACGTCTGAGTAAGGGGCGGAGGCCAACGTAGGGGGAGCGACGTTGGAAGGAGGAGTGACTGCCCGGGAGAATGTTTGGGAAGAAGATCCTGGTGAAGCAGGAGAGGAAATATCAACAGAGACGGGGATGAACACCGAATGGTCGTCTTCAGTAGTGTTGGATACGATGTGACTGGGAGAAAGGGTGTCTCTTAAAAAACTCATTATCGTTGAATATTTCCATTTCGTTGAGTTAGAAGCACCTGCCAAACTGGGTGCAGTTTCCTTCTTGAATTCCTTTCTGTACGTATCTCTCAAATTCTGCCATTTACATTTAACATTTTGACCTAAAACGAAAAACAAACAAGGTTCAGCAATGTATAGTAGTCACGATTCCTGTAATGTATATGCTAATATTCAATGACAACGCTGCTAAAACAAATAGATCATCCAATCCCTAAAGAATTATTTACGTTCTTTTCAGATTTTCAGCTTTTCAGAATTAATTACATTCAGAGTACATGTATTTCCATTAGGGATGCTCTAAATACTATTAGTGGAATTGTTTATAAGCTCTGTGAAGCAATTAGACAAACATTTAGAGATTATACCTTTCCTCACGACAGACACATTGTCTTTATAGCAAAATACTTTCAGAAACATGGAACGTCTCCCATTGTGAGGGATGCACTGATGGAATACATATTTGCATCACATATCCTTTAGTTCATTATAGCTACAAAAATGACTTTTCCATACATTTCCACGTGTAGTTCATACTAAATACAAATTTCTTTGAGTAAATAACGTGGCTATCCTACACATAGTAGTATAATTCTGATGAGTGGGATTTATACATTGTTGGTAAATGGAAAATTTAATGTATGCCCACAGGAAATATCTCACACTTTGTTTTCATAACTGAAAATAACAGACATTAAGTTTAAATAACTATAATCATATTTGAAGAAAATATAACAAAACAAATATAAATTACTTTGTCCCTGTTTATACGTATTTTTATTCCCGGTTGTGCAACTGAACAACTATTGGAATTAATGTACTAGATAACAAGACTCATATATTTGGCTAAAACTCAATAAAATTGATGTTTACATACACGATTCTCCCACTTCATTCCAAATTTCTTGCCAATATTTTCTGCTGACGTCTCTGCTGTGATACCGCATATGTGAAGGATTCCAAAGGGCCTCTCGGTCATAAACCAACGAAATTAGTCTTTCGGCGTCCATGTTCACTGGCTCAGTTCGACCGAATGAAGTTCGTCTGATACCGTTCTGCCGAACTGAAACTTCAGCCTCCTGCTGCCTTTCAATAACAGCATTTGCAAGCACGCACAAACACCAAGTTTCTCTTCGATTATTTCGAATTAATGACCGCTTCATTCTCTTGTTACCGTCAGCATCCTTAGCATTACCCAAAAGTGCCAAAGTGCAGTGTGGCGATTCAACCCACTAATGTTGAGCGGACAATTCATTATCGATAAGGCAGAAGCGATTTGCATCTTTTAAAAGAGAACGTTCCGAAGTAAACACGGTTGTATACTAACAATGAATAATTCAGCGCATCATTCATCAAAATCAGCCCTTTCGGGTTGCCTATTCTTTCGGCAAGCAAGATACACGGCCTACATCAAATGTTACTATTCACGCCCAAAATTCGGAGGAATGTGTGCAATCTATTTGAAAACAATTTCTTTACAAAACTTACAATTTCAAACTTAAAATTCTTCAAAGCTTTAAAGGAAATTTTCTGAGATCAGGAACTAATACACTACAATATAACTTAGAATCATATGTTTTACAATTCAAGAAGATTTTAAAATACCAATAACACAAGAAACTACAAAAAAGAGAGAAAAAACAGTAACCTCAACCATCAGAAAAGACTTCACAAAATTTCAAACCATCTGGCAATGAACATTTTCGATCATCGTCTTCAAAGAAACTAAATATGTTTAAGTCACTAGAATTAAATAGTACCTATACTTTTTAAAGTTGCTGTTCTTGAAGACGAATTCTTCATGTATGTTTCTACGAGCAATAACAATTTACCTCATGTTTTGAATAAGAATAAATTGCAAATAAACAGAATTTCGAGAAAAATGTGAAGAAAAAAGTACAGTGATGGCGTTTGTAGTTCCTGAAAACAAAGGCTCATTACCAACATGAGTCCCAGGGCATGAAGGGAAAATAATCAAAAAGATGAATCAATTCCTTATCAATCAGTTGAAACAAAAGATTGAAGTCAACAATTATTATCAATATCAATACATTTTACACTTTGGCACTGATTCTGCGTCGGCAAACTTTCAAGAAAATGCAGAACTTGGGCATCCGATCAGTTAAGACTAATGCCGCAACTACGCAAACGCCCAGTTTTTGCGCAGCTCCAATAACCGACGCCTCACGTTTTCGCAAACCCATTCTCAACACGCAGGACATTGTATGGTTGGAGAGCCCACTGCTCCGGTTAACCTTGAGCAGCGCGCGAATATGAAAATAAAAGCAGCTAAAGGGGCGGGCCGCGGGGGCGGGTCCCTAACACAGAAATTCGAATGGCCGGCGAGGGGCGTCACTCCGGGGCGGGCTCGGGGCTGCGTTCTCGCCACCGCCACCGCCACCGCCCGCGGCGCGGCGCGGGTCGAGGCACCCGCCGGCCGAACTTGGCCTCTGACGTCAACCGCGTCGAAATCTGGCAACTCCTCGGAAAGCTCCTCCTCCACCACCGCCGCTGCCGTCGCGGACGCCTCCATCGCCTGCATCGCCACCGTTGCCTCCAACGCCGACAAAGCTTGGCCATAATATTGCCCAAGACGACGCATCTCCCTATACCCTCTCAAAGACAATTGGGCGTTCCATCGAATCTGCGGATACCACGATTGGGGAAAGGCGGGGCGGGGCGGGGAGCGGCTGGGAGAAGGGCCGAGCTGTCAAGCGACCGGTAACAAAGAGGACCGTCAACCACGGAGCGCCAAGAGCTGTCGAGCACAGCGCTAGCTCGCAAATGG